GATTGGTTGAATAAGGTTTTCACGGTTTTTACAAATTGAGTGGTTTTTATTTGAACGCTCCCCATAATATATATATATATATATATATATATATATATATAATTTGACGAATGAAATAATATATAAAACTTAAATTTATAAATCATACTATAAAACATTCTATCTAAAAATGTTACAATAGGTTTATAAGACGTTTTTTGACGTTTTAACAAGTGTTTTAGAATTATCTTTAAATAAAATGTTGTATTAGTTATTTTATAAAATTATTTTGAGAAGTGTCTCGTAAACTCATCTATTTATATGACACATTTGTTCATATGACAATTTTTTAAGTCGTGTCGTATAAAATAACCAACACGACATTTTATTTTAAAAACGTCATAAAATTTGTTAAGACGCCCAAAATCATCCTATAAACATATTGCAACTCTTTTAGATAAGACATTTTTCTTGTTTCGTCCTATAAAGTATCATATTAGGACGGTTAGTCATTCTAAGCATCATATAAGATCTAATGTTGTTGTAGCGAAATGCTATAGCTAATCATTTTTCTTTCCACTAAAGTATAACACAAAATAACGGAGTATTTAGATTGATGGATTCATCAACCAAATATCTATCAATATCATTCATATTCTCCAACATATCAATTTGTTGTTGCAGGAAAAAAGTTTTCAATATTTTTCTCTTATTAATTAGATTATTCATCATCATTCTTTGATCGTAAATCTTTTTTGGTAACCTATACGTTTAACTAAAATGAAATGCAAACATAATATTAATAAAATTATATAAAAATTTATACATTATTAATATATATATATATATATATACACATAATAAACATATATATATATAAAAAATTTTATAAAAATATTAGCGGCGGGTTGGCGGGTTAAGCTAGGCCCAACCCAATTCCAACCCTCATAATTGGCGGGTGGACGGTTAGGCGGGTTGGGTTGGATGGGTTTCACGGGTTGACGATTTTTTGTACACCCCTAGAAGATTGCAAGTATATAAAAGCGGCCAAACTAAAAAGGAAAAAAAATACTAAATGGTAAATAAGTACTCGTTTTCAACAATTTCTTACGAATGAAGTTTCTAGAGACTAAGAAGAAACCCATGTTGAAAAACTCACACTAGGTGTAGTACATGTGAAGCCATTGACCATGTCAACAAAGTAATAAGACGGAAATAGTTCACGACGACAGGAGATTCTTCATCTAGAAGACGTATGATGATGAATTGTTAGATATGATGACTTTTTCTTAAGAGAAAAGAAAGAATTAGCATTTTCTTTGCAATTCGTTTGTTTATATGTCGTCGGATAATTCAATTTTAAAACAAACATGACAAACTTTTCAAGTTTATGAACTAAAAATTTCTTATATACAACTCAAATACTATTTTACCCGTTCCATATTAACGATCATTTGATCGTACCACTAAAAAACAAACAATGACACAATGTTTCTTTGTCATTCTTTAGAGATCATAAATTTATAATTAGGTATGTGATTGCTTACACTCTTTTTAAAAGCACTCGTTTTTCATGATACTAGCGAAGATCACGAAATTGATGAGGTTTAAACCTTCATACTTTGTATGTGCATACCTTTAATATAGTATATTGATTATCTTACGTATTTTGTACTTAGGATTTAACATAATGATTTTTTTAGCATTTACTTATCTGATGGTTCGATATTTTATGGTTTGTATAGTTTATGTCAGTATCATCATGATATTTATAAACGTATAAACTTTGATTTATTGAAACGAAAACTTTATTGATTAAAAACATATAATTTCATGTACCCACTATGCATACTTGTAACACATATTTCTTGTTGCGTAATGGGGAAAATTAATTAAAATATGTTAGTAAACGTATTATGTCATTCTTATGTTGTCATTGCACTTGATGTCATATATACCATATATATTGTAGTCTATTTTATGTTAGGTGCAAGCTTATACGAGTCACCTTCAACCTTTAAATGTAGAATTAAATAACTTAAAAAGATAAATATTCTACAGGCATTTATTTAAATAAAGTTCACACTATAAAATATGTACCTTTTACAAGTAATTCGCCGGTAATATTTATCAAATAGATGATGTCCCAAAAAAATAGCCAATAATCAAATCATCGACGCATGGATTACAGGCGGTTTGGGTCATCATCGACGGGTCTTGTCCGCTGATGATTCACCACTAATTTTTTAGACATTAATAAAAAATGGGCTAATTAACACTTAATTAAACAGTAATGGCCACCAATAATAATCATCCACTAATTAATTTAATTCACCGTGTTTCTGATGTTTTATGCAAATAATTTAATAAACGGTTACGGATAGTTTTTACCCACTAAACTGCCGGTAATTAATTTGCAATATTTAAAAATGTTTTTAGTAAGAATATGTTTACAAAATATGTGAGTTACATTGTTTCTAAAATTTGGCTCTTTTCAAATTTGTATGTATATTTAACATATTATGATGGATGTCATTCACAAATGAAATTTGATCGTGTGTTTAACATATTATGATGGATATCTTTCACAAATGAAATTTGTATGTGTGTTTAACATATTATGATAGAGTTACATTGTTCCTTGTTCATTGGTGAACATTGTTCACTAGTTACACATACGTACACATTCTGGTATGTGTTTACTAATGACCATTTTCATATATGATATATTTTCATTGGTGAATAATGTTAATAAGTTACTCATATATAACAATTTGTTCATTAATTTACGTCATTCATAAGTTAAACATTACATATTAATAAATGAAAGAATAATTAAAGCTTGATGGAAGTTTCGAAACGATAGAGTAATTACCGAAAAAGTAATTAATGCTAAAACAAAACCTTCCTACTTTTTTCCAAAATTACCCTTTGTTTATGATTGTTCACCTATGTTAATTAAGCATCATTTTTTAATTTGTTACAAAAATTCCACTAAATTTTGTCCATAGATTACAAAGATTAAAGACTAGTATTGGTGCACAAAATTAACACGATATATTTGTAACTGCTCATTAATGACATTAATGTTCGTATTTAACATCAATCTATTATCATTAATAAAAAAAATTATCATTATAGACATTAATATCATATGGGCATCCTCCGATATGAACATGGGGTTCACTTATAACAATGTGATTATGTTCATTAATATGAACAATGTGAACATTAATATATTGTCATTAACAGAAAAATCTCCATCATTATGGACATTAACATTCACATGGGCATCCCCCTATAAACATGGGTTCACTTGTAAACAATGTGATTATTTTCATTGATATGAATAATATGAGTATGTTCATTAATATTTGAACAATGTTCATATATGTTCACCGGAGATTTCACGATATTTTCCTCCATACCGGTCATATCACCGAAAACGAATTAACAATACGATTCAAAAATGTTTACTTGTGATATATTCACTCAGATTAACAATTTACCCGTTGTGTATATCAATATTTACATTTTAAAAAATGTTTACTTTTGATTTCTTCACTCATTAACAAATTCATCAAGATTAATTTTATTTAATAATAATACATTGTATAATTTGAATAACTGATCATAATCCCAATAATCAAACAACTATTAAATTGTAACCACTCATTAAATAAAACAAAATATAACTTATATGTATGTATAATTGACCCTATTGTCCTTCATCCCATAATCAATGTCTTATTGAAACCTACCACAAGTAATGAATCTTATTGGTCCATTAGATTAACATTAGTTAACCCTAAAAATAGAGTTAATAAAATAACTTAGCCATATATATATATATATATATACAACATTTTACATTTGTACAACCAATACAACTCAATCTTAACCATCCATTTATTTTGATGAATATGTGATTTTATAGAAGTTTTGATTGTTTTCTAATATAAAGTATTGATCATAATTAATTAACATATTCATCTTCCATAAATATTTAAATCATAATAAATAAAACTCTCATCATTTCTATTAATATCTCAATTAATTGGGTTGCATTGGTTGTACAAATGGACATGGTTGTATTTGAAATATAACTTTATATAGAGGTTGGTTATTATACAACTCATGACATTTGTGTAACTAAACAACTCAATCTCAACCGTCCATTTCATTTGATTAATATGTGATTTCATAGAAGTTTTGATTGTTTACTAATATAAAGTATTGATCATAATTAATGAATCATATTCATTAATATAAATATTTAAATTATAATAAATAAACTTTCATCATTTATATAAATATTTCAATATATTAGATTGCATTGGTTATACAGATGTTATGAGTTGCAATTTGAAACAAACTATATATATATATATATATATATATATATATATATATTGTTGATATGAATAAAGAAGGCATTTGGAGTCCCATAAAAGGAAAGCCATAATTTTACAAACATTATATGCAAGATATCTTTGTAGAAACGACATTTTCATATTAAATTGTTCTTTTGACAACAAAGTTTATAAATTTACTATCATTATATTATTATTTATTTAATTTTATAAATAAAACAATCTAATGATTAATTGCTGTTGAATCGATCAAGGATTATATTATTACTAGGAAAAWTTGTAGTAATTTCAAGAGCATTCTACACACACACACACACATATATATATATATATATACATGTATATATACACACACATACATATATATATATATATATATACATATATATATATATATATACATATATATGTGTGATTTTATATTCCCTGAAATATATACATATTATATTGATAAATATACGTATGCGCACCAACAAGTAGTTGTCTAACAATAAATAACAAGCCATCTCTTTCCTGGAAATTTCTGCATGCACATCCCTCAAAGAAAAGAAAGAAAAAGACCGTGACTTGTAATTCTTTCTATTATAAAAATTTGAATCCCAAATCTTGGATTCTTCACTCCCTTGACCAACATAATTATTAGGTTTGGCTAAAAACAATGGTGGATACATCTCTTGGCATAGATCTTAACGTCACTCCCTTCCACAAAACCGATGATACCCCGGTAAGTATACATATATGTATGTGTGTGTATTTGGTTTATATATTATATCGTCTTCTTATGTACATATATAGCAACAGATGAATGATGATTTAACCCGGATGAGCTTGGAGAACAAGAAGCTAAGGGAGAAGCTAACAACAGTTTGGGACAAAAACAACACCCTCCAAAACCAAGTAAACAAACTAATGCAAGACCATGATTTATTGGTCAATAATCTAAATAAAAGAAAGTTTGTCGAGTGCGAGGAGGGCAGCACAAGTGGGAGGACGGAAAATCTTCATCGAGGATCGTTGAAAAGGACAAACGGGGGTGTCACAAGAGTTTATAGACGGACAGATGATCCATCTGATAAAAGCATGGTACTTAACATGTCTTTCAGCTCATCTGAAGAGTTTTAATATTTATGTAAATTATGGAATTAAGTTTTAGTTTTGTTGAAAGTTTAGGTGGTAAAAGATGGATATCAGTGGAGAAAGTATGGGCAGAAAGTGACCAGAGATAACCCTTCACCTAGAGCTTACTACAAGTGCTCTTTTGCACCATCCTGCCCAGTCAAAAAGAAGGTGATCCATCTGTCATTTGTTCAAAAACATTCAAATAATCTAAAAGCATTAGAAAGCATATGTATTTGACTTAAAAGAGAGATGAAAACAAGACGATTGAACTAGCTAGTTAAATATTGTCGTCTGCTTCTTTTTCAGGTACAAAGAAGTGTGGATGATGCCCATCTTCTAGTCGTCACTTATGAAGGAGAGCACAACCACCAAAGCATGGAGAAAGAACCCAATCAGACTAGCAACAGAAGGTTAAACTCTCCAATGGAGATGCTGAAATATGATGAGGTCTTAGTTGAACAAATGGCTAACTCTTTAAGAAGAAACTCTGATTTCATTGAAGATCTTGCAGACGCCATTTCCTCCAACATTTTGGAATACGATTTGTTTTAAGCAATGTCAATTTCCATATATACAACTGTTCACATATATCATCATGACAAATGCATGTTAATGTATTGGTACTGGTTCTTCAACGTTAAGTTTAACACAGCCTAATGAGATCATATATATATGCTCCATTTGTCTGGTTGCATACAACTGGCCATAACTCTAAGTATACCCACGAATTGGACCTTGTACCGCCTTTGATTCATCAGACCATATATGTTGGTGGAAACAAGAAACTTTGGAGGGGAACCAAGAAATCAATATATCTTCTTTTTTTAGAATCACACTTCTTAACACTCTCCCATAAACTAGACTTGGACTACTCCAAGCTTTGCTTTCAACTTCTTGAAGTCTCCAACGTTTAAAGCCTTGGTGAGAACATCTCCAACTTGATCATTTGTTTTACAGAATATAGTCTCGACTTGGCCAAGGTTCACCAATTCCCTTGTGAAATGATATTTGATGCGAATGTGTTTGATTTTTCCGTGATATACTGGGTTCTTGGATAGGGCTATTGCAGACTTATTATCGCAGTATATTGTCGTTGGTCCTTCTTGAGGATGTTTAAGTTCTTCCAGAATTCCTCGCATCCACATAGCTTGACATCCCACCAATGTTGTGCACATGTATTCGGCCTCTGCTGTAGATAGAGCAACCACCTTTTGTTTCTTGGATTGCTAGGAGATTGCACCAGATCCCATATTGAAAACATAGCCCGAAGTACTTCTACTATCATCTATGCTACCACCGTAATCACTGTCTCCATAAGCAACCAACTTAGAATAATTACTCACCTTTTGATAGCAGATTCCATGGTCCACGATCCCCTTTACATAACGAAGTATTTTTTTTTTCCTGCTTCCCAATCGCTTAATTTAGGTGCTTCCATGAATCTGCTGATCAAACTCAACGCAAATGCTATGTCTGGGCATGTGGCTGACAAATACATTAAACTTCCGACTAAACTCCTAAAGATTTTGCTATCAACCTCACGTTCCCTTGATTCTTTCGATAGCTTTAATTCGACTTCCATTGGTGTGGGACTAGAGGAGCGTCTTGTATGTGAAAACATTTTCATACTTCTTGTGCGTATTTCTTTTGTGAAATCACAATCTCATATTTTCTTTGCTTGACTTAAATGCCAAGAAAGTAATGAAGCATCCCAAGCAGAGGCGGACCGCTTAGTGGGCCTATAGGGGACCTGGCCCTGTGATTTTTTTCCCACTTAGCATACAACAGTGTATCCATTACCTTGCTCAATTCAAAAATTTTCAACCGGCCTCCCCCTTCCAAATCCATTCCCGAGAGGCGACAGCGACTAGGCGAGAGGACGAGAGGTGTAATCCATTGTGGACTGCAGCCTGTGTGACTCACGACTGGACGAGGAGGGCGATTGGGCGATCATCGTTAGCGACTTAGGCGGAGGCGGAGGCGAGCAGGGCAGGCGCAGGTGGAGGCGAGCAGGGCAGGCGGAGGCGGAGGCGAGGTCTGCAGGCGGAGGCGGCGGCCAGCACGGTAACTCCCGATCCCGAGCCGTAGGTAAGTCCGTCCTTCTCACTTCTCAGTCACTGAGTTCTGCACTTTTGCTAGTTTGCTACTGTTTTACAGCCTACCACATAGCACACTTGCACTTAACTTGCACCTTTTGTTTTGAAATCAAAACCCAAAAGTGGTGATTTACATTACAGTTTACTGATTTAGCATTTAGGTAGGTGATTATTAGGGCTAAATTTACTGAAATTGGTTATATGGTGATTTACTGATTTAGGGATTTAGGTGTATTGGTGATTTAGGTGATTTACTGATTTAGGTGTATTAGGTGATTTAGGTGATTTAGGTGATTTTTGGTGATTTAGGTGTATTCTAAATTTCCAATATGAATTGAAATCATATTATCTAACACAGTAACACTAAAACTGTTATGTAGATAAAGATGAAAAATCAATCTACCATTCATGGGTTTTTTAAAAGAAAGCATGCTAGTTCATCTTCTCAAGATCCCGAAGAAACAAC